CTGGCATGTGCTACCTGGGATCAAACCCCAATCCCTGCACTTGCCTAAACAGGTGCTTAGTCTGCTGAGCTATCTCACTTGCCTTTTTTTTTTTTTTGTATTTTAGGAAAGGGTCTACAGGATGTTCAGAGGCTCGCTACTAGATCAGACTCGTAGTGATCGGCCTGTTTAAAGCCTCTCAAGAGCTGCGATTAAAGGCACATGCCACCATCTCCAGTCTCAATACGCTCAGTCTCAATTGCCTGTCTCAGCGTGCCCCCGGGGGCAGGGCCAGCATGGCAAGCCAGGGGATCAAACCCCTGGCCCCTGTGCCTGCTTGCAGGTTCTTAAATCCACTGAGCTATTTGGCTGGCCACCCCCCCCAACCGCCGCCCTTCTTTTTATTGTTTTTTGAGGCAGGGTGTCACTTGTCGTACAAGTTGGCCTTGAACTCACTATGTAGCTCGGCCTGGCCTGGAACTCAAGGCGCTCAAGGTATTCCTCCTGTACCAGCCTGTCAAGTACTGGGATTACTGGTGTGCACCACCATACCCAGCTGAAGTCTTCTTTCATGACTTAGATTGCACTGTCATGGCTGCCTTGATGTCCTGAATTGATTAAAACCATTTACCTTTCCCAGTCATTTTGACTTTGGGGAACAGCCACGAGTTGCATGGGGCCATATCTGGTAATCCAGGTGGCGAGGACAGCAGGATTTCAGCAGCCTGCCCCTACAATGGGTGGTGCTGAGGAGCAGCACTCACCATGTTTTGATCCTACCTCCGGGAGACACTCAGGCAAGCGGGTGTGTGTGGCGCTGGGGGTCAAGCTGCAGCGCCAGAGAACACCCTCGTGCATAACTGGGGCCGCTGCCCTCCGCGGATGGCACCCTTAAGCAGGAGCAACACAGCTGCAGCAGTGGGTGCCAAGGAGACGGCTCAGTGGAATAAGTGCTTCCCTGGCAAGCATAAAGGCCTGAGTTCAATCCCTGGTTCCACGAAAAAAAGTAGGGGGGCGCCAGGAAGATGGGATGAGCAAGTGTGAATGCAGGCATAGTCCGAGAGCCAGTAATGGCAAGGGGTCTTTAATGATTTTTTTTTTTTTTTTTTTTTTTTGCGGAACTGGGGATTGAACTCAGGTCCTTGCACTTGCCAGGCAAGTGCTTATTCCACTGAGCTATCTCCCCAGCCCCTAATGATTTTTTAAGTTAAACATTCACTGTATATTTTGATCATTTCTCGTGTATATTCCAAGTACAGACCAAAAAATACTGACATTGGGAATTCCCCAGTAAAAATCCGGTCCCTGAATTCCCTACACTAAGTTCATAATCAACAAATCCCTCGTGCCCTTCAAGGAGGTAACCACTTGGGAGTTTTCAGCCTCACCCTCAACAGGAGCAGACAGCCCCGGGTCACTGGACATCTGATAAAGCCTCCAGCAAGACAGAAATGTGGACTCAAAGGCAATAAAGCTGCAGTGGAAGGGAGACTGAGTAGAAATACAATATGTAAAGTGAAAATATTTTCTAAAAATATTCATTAATGGGGCTGGAGAGATGGCTCAGTGGTCTAAAGCACCTACTTGGAACAAGCTTGGCAAAGCAAAGGGACCCCCAGCACCACATGCCAGCCAGCTGCGCCCCCTGGTGAGCTGAGCTTCCCTCCCCACTAAATAAATGTTTAAAAAATGCATTATTAAAAAAAATTCATTAATGTTATCAGAGAAAAAAGACAAGATACTACAATTTGAACCATGAAGATTCTATAAAATAGTATACTGTGACATTTATAAAAATAAACTGAGCATAGTAGAGCATGCCTGTAATCCCAGCAACTTGTGAGGCTGAGGCAGGAGGATCATTGTGAGTTTGAGACCAGTTGGGGGCCGGGGAGATGGCTCAGTGGAATAAGTGCTTCCCTGGCAAGCACAAGGGCCTGAGTTCAATCCCCGGTTCCGAAAAAAAAAAAAAAAAAAAAAAAAAGAGAGACCAGCTGGGGATATAAAGAGAACCCAATGCCAGCCTTAACTTCATAGTGACACCCTGTCTCAAAAAGACAACAGTTCTTCTGCTTCAGTCTGCCATCGAGTGCGTGTTCTCACCTCCTACCGCACCGTGTCTTCTCACAAGACTTTTAGAATCAAACGATTCCTGGCCAAGAAGCAAAAGCAGAATCGCCCCATTCCTCAGTGGGTTTGTACGATGACAGGTAATGAAATCAGGCACAACTCCAAGAGGAGACACTGGAGGAGGACCAAGCGAGGACTGTAAGGAGCTGCACATGAGCTGCAGCACATTTACCCTCCGGGAGGCCACGAGACGATGTCATTTTTTAATCATGGTCAAGACAATACTGAATAAAGTTTTAAAGATAAAAAAAGACAACAACAACAAAAAAAGAAATCTATAAAAATACCATAATTGAGAAACAAAAGAAACGTTCTTAGAAATGACAAATATACTTGGCCAGGTGTGTGGCTCAGTGGTGGAGGTACTGAGAGCCCATGAGAAACTCCTGGTTCTGTGCTCAGTGCTAGACACACACACACACACACACACACACACACACACACACTTAAGTAGAGATGCACAGCTTAAGGTGGGAAGAAAAATGAAAATCAGGAAGTAAAACAGTAAAAGAAATAGAAAATTCAACATCAGTTGCACATGAGTTCCCGAAATAAAAGAAATGAAGGAGCGGGAGAAACTATCCAGGGAAGAGTCAAGAAAATCAGAGAAGTTTTCTAAAACAAATGGCATGACACAGATATGACTGAAAGGCCCAGCAAGAAAAACAAGTCAATCCATATTGCTAATAAGTATCAGTACATTGAGGAAAAGAGGAAGAAAAACAGGCCACATACAAAGCTTAGGAGTCAGAATGCTTCCTTGGTGACACTGGACATTAGAATATAGTGGTGTGAGGGAGTCCACACTCTAGAGAGTCTGTGCTGCAATTCTATACCCAGCCAGAGTGTCCATCAGGGACGAAGACAGATAAAGGTGGTACATGTCTGTAATCCCAGCACGTGGGAGGCTGAGGCAGGAGGATCACTGTGAGTTCAAGGCCAGCCTGGATACAAAGTGAGTCATGGTCAGCCCGAATTACAGAGCAAGATCCTGTCTAACCAAAAAAAAAAGATTTGTAGGATGTACTTTTTTGTGGGAGACCACCAAGCTGTGCTCTCCCGGAGAATGAAGCACTTTACCTGACCTTTACTTCAACCTTATTCACTGAGAAATGCAGAGCTGGCTATACTGAAGCAGATGTTTCCCTAATTGGCCAAAAGAATGTGATTGAGTCCAGCCGAGCCTCACATAGCAAAGCAGGTCAGAATCGGCCCCCGCTGGAATAGAGGCTTGAACAAGAGCTTGTGAGGCTCCAGGGCTGACACGTAAGATGAAATCTCAACTGAGGCCATGGAATTCAAAAAGAATTAAACCTTGCGGGCAGTAAAGGTGCCAGCCTTGTGTACATCAAGCTATCCATTGCTGCGCTAATTAGAGGCTTCTACCTGGCGCAGAAGTGTTCTGCTTCCTCTTACAGCCCTGCCTGCAAGCTTTCTCCAGGCTAGCGGCCTGCCGTGACCCCCACCCACCTCCCTGATTGATACCAACAAAAGCCACCAGCTTTTGGACTTGTGGTCCTTTGTTCCATAGACAGCATTGGGTCATCCCAGAACTCAACTGCAGAATTCTGTTTTTCTTGGGCATCTGTGTGCCATGCTGCCAGGTGGGAGATGCCCTCTGTGGAGGTTTCAGTATCTTGCCTGAAAGTTCAAACAAAAACAGGGGGGCAAAACCCGAAAAGATGAGGAATTTGTACCCTAATGGAAAAGAAAAATAGGTAGTTCAAGGCCGGCCTGAAAAAAAAATGTAGTTAGTTTAAGGCCAGCCTGAACTATATAGCAAGACTCTATCTTAAAAAAGGGAAAAGCCTGGCATAGTGGCACCCACCCCTAATCCCAGCGCTGAGACTGGAGGATCGCAGTGTATTTGAAGCCAGCCTGGGCTATCTAATGGAGTTTAAGGCCAGTATGCACTACATAGCAAGACCTGTGTCAAAAAAACAAAACAGGGGGCCGGGGAGATGGCTCAGTGGAATAAGCGCTTCCCTGGCAAGCTCAAGGGCCTGAGTTCAATCCCCGGTTCCGCAAAAAACAAAAAACAAGACAGGAGAAGGAGCTCATGCCTGTAATCCTAGCACTTGGGAGGCAGAAGCAGGATTCCCCATAGGTTAAGGCCAGCCTGGGCTACATGAGCAAGTTCAAGGCCAGGCTGAAGCACACAGTGAGACCCAGTTTCAAAACTAAACACAGAAAAACAACAACAACAACAAAAACCACCAAACACCAAGAAAAAACATATAGAGGGGGTGAAAAAAAAAAAAAAAGAAAAGAAAACGAAAGGAAAAGAATTTGAGATACCACAGAATCCAAGTCAGGAGGGAGGCAAATGGTGACCCCCAAGATGGCAACGATGTACCGGCCTACATCAGGCCTGAAGACCAAGACTGAAGCCTCTTCAGTGAGATGGAACTGGCAGACTATCTGATGCTTCTGAACGTAAGTAGAGATTTACACAGTTAACAGAATTTGGGTTTGAATTAATTAAACAGAAAACTCTAAATGACTGAAGGAGAAAAAAAAGACAATTACTGTATTAACTACAGGAAAAACAAAGAATTGTGTGGAAGAGAAAAGTAATGGTGGTGTAGCTGTGGGAGCATTTACGGCCATAACATGTAAATACTGAATATTCATTTAGTCAGAATCAATGTGGGAAGCTAGACTGATTTAAATACAAGAGCAGGAGTATGTGCTTTCCATGGGGAGAAGTAAATGGAAGATGCCTAGAATCGAAAAGCTGTAGCTGGGTCAGGTGGCACATGCCTTGTAAGCCAGCACTCTGGGAGGCTGAGGTAGGAAGATCTCAAGTTCATGTCCAGCTTGGGGAATTTAGCGAATGTGTGTCTCAAGATAAAAAAGGAGGGGGCTGGGAATGTCACTTAGTGCAAAGTTCGACCCCCAGTACTAGAGGATGCAAATGGAGAGAGCTGAGGAAACATGGTATTCAAGGTTGGGGAGGGAGGTGGCCAAATGGTCCCAAGAGAGGGGGAAGCAGATTCCTCTGGGGTGGGTGCAGGGAGAGCAGGCTGAGGGGGTACTGCTGCTTTTCATGGTTTAAAAAATCTTGTATTTCTCTGGGTAGATAGCTGACAAAAATAGCCAAAGACTAGGGAAAAAAAATTGTAAAAAGGGTTATTGGGGAAAAAGGAACGCAGCAGAAGCAGGAAATCAAAGCAAGAGGTGACAATGAGACAGGCTGGGTGTCCTTTGTGAGTCTTCCAGGCTTCTGGGAATGGTTCTGGGTTCTCTCTCTCTCTCTCTCTCTCTCTCTCTCTCTCTCTCTCTCTCTCTCTGCAGAACCGGGGATTGAACACAGGCCCTTGTGCTTGCCAAGCAAGCGCTTATTCTACTGCACTATCTCCCCGGCCCCTGCTCTGGGTTGTCAACGTGTACCTGAGGCAGCCAGGCCCCGGGGGAGGTTGAGCGCCTGAGCCCCAGGACCCACCGGACCGACCAGCTGGGGTCCAGCTTCCAGCCCTGCAGCCTCACAGTTGTGGATGCCTTGCTGTGCTTCGGTCTCTGGGAATAGCCAACTGAGGTGGGAATGAAGAAGGCTGAGCTGGGTCCCCCTGCGAAATTCACATCCCAACTGCCAATCCTCAGAAGGAGGCCTTGTTTATAGAGCTTCTACAGAGGTGAGCAAGTTAATGGGGGGGCATGGAGTGGGCCCCAAAACCACAGTGTGACTGGTGTCATAAGAAGGTAGCTTTGTGGGGGGATGGGCGTGGGGAATGAGAGGTGGGGGATGTATGCCTTAATCCCAGCACTTAAGAGGCTGAG